TCCGCTCTCCATCCCGGCCTCGCTTGGGAGCGGTCGCTGGTGGGGGGAGGTGAAAAGTTGCCTCCCACGACGCCGCCCGCGTAGGTAAGCAAGCAGATGGGGCGGAGGGGGGTGGAAGGAGAACGACCGAGGGCTGGGGGGCCTGCCAGTCCTCTCCCCCAGCAACCCCTACGTACCACAAGGGCTGGTTATGTGCGGCTACAGGAGGGCGCGAGTGGCTTTGCGGAAAGGAAAGGCCTCCTCCCCCCCACCTCGCTATCTGGAAGCAGCGTCAGATTCAACGAGGGCTTAGCCGGGGTGTAAGTCCCTTCGATGCCGCGGTCAAACGGTACCCTAAAAAAACTATCTTGTCGTTGCAGCAGAAATGGCGAGAAGAATTATTTCCTCGCCAGTCGCTCTGGCGGGGTGGCCAAGGGCTTTTTTCAGACGCATGCGTTTCTCCTCAGGCGCACATTCTTGGCCTCGAGAGAAAATAAGTGGCCCGGGTCTTAACTGGAGAAGATGAGGCATTTTATCCAGCTCCACAGTACAGTATGCCTGGGAGGAGTAGGAACCTGGTGTTTCCTTAGCACTGTTTGAAGTGCTAAGGAAAGGATAGCATGCATATTACTTCAGTTTATTTTGAAAGAATCCTGCCATTGTACCAGCAAATGGGAAATGCAGTTTGACTGAGACATAAAAACTTAGTTGAATTCAGTGGGCCCTTTTCCCTGGATATTCAATTGAGGTCTTAATCTTTTAGGTGCCTCTGGATTAATGTTAGGGGAATGTTGTGTGTGTGTGTGTGCGCGCATGTATAATACACACACACACACACACAATATTAGTCAGCAACAGTGTTTTCTACAGCTTCCCACTGTTTGGGCAGTCCCAATACTATGGAGCAAATTGGGGGTAGAGGAAGAAGGAGGAGTTTTACCTGGAAGAGGTGGAGGTTAGACATCATTAGATACAAGAATGAAACGTTTGCAAGAAGAGAACCAAGCTCAGAGAACCCCAAGGACTCCACAGTTCAACCCTGAGCTACACATATTCACCTCTATTGGTTTCTTCTTTATCTCCAAGTTGTTGTGTACTCTAGTTCCTGGGCTTGTGAAAGAACAAATGAGAAGGTAGACTGTTTGCATATCTTTTCTTGTATTCTGAAGATAGATGTATCTGTGTTGTTCTGACTTAGATTAAGGCTTGGTGCTTGCAGGGAAGAATGTTGGATGAAAGGAAGAAAATAAAAAGGAAAAGTTTGGAAAGACTAAAATTGAGGAAGGAAGAGGCCTATGGCACTTTTGTTTCCTCAGTCTCTCCACAAAATCATAAATTGGTCAGGCCATCCTCTTCAGTCCTGCTAATCTCTGAACAACAAAAATTGATGGGAACATTACAAATTGGTACTTCCTCTGGTCAAAAAGAGTTTGAAAATGACTCAGCCACTGTCTCATGCATTGAGCTATGGCAGCTCCTAGATAAACAAAAATATCCTTACCCCTGTTCTACACAGAAAGGCAAAATAACTTGCTATCCAGCACTTATTTCCCCCTCCCCCATGTTATTTTTCTGTTTTGGAAAACATCTGAGTTATTAGTATGAGAGGAAAGCTGCTTGGCCACCAAAATCTCATTCTACATATAAATTCCCATTAAAAATTGCAACCATGGTTGTAAGTTGCAGTGTAGAGTTTTGGTGCCCAAGCATCACGGGGAGGGGAGAAGTAATAGCTTGCTTGTATCAGAAGCTGGGAAGCAAAATGGTACGTGCTGTTTATATAAATAGGAAAAATTGAGATGGGTAGTTTTTTACAGGGATTATGGAACTAGTGAGACTCAGTTTGGTGTAGTGGTTAAGGCACCAGGCTAGAAACCGGGATACTATGAGTTATAGTCCTGTATTAGGCACAGAGCCAACTGGATGACCTTGGGCCAATCACTCTGTCTCAGACCTTGGAAGGAGCAATGGCAAACCACTTCCAAAATCTTGCCAAGAATACTGCAGGGACTTGTCCAGGCAGTTGCTAGGAGTCATCACTGACTTGAAGGAACACACACACACACACACACACACACACACAACTAGTAAGAAGGATTAAGATCAGGTTAACTGATTTTAGGCATGAAAACTGACTGGGTAATTTTGGGCCGGTCACTTTCCAGTAGTCTACACCCAGATAAGCAGGAATTAACACCAGACAAACAATCAAGCAGAAAACAATACCCTAATCAAGGAACTATCCAGGAGAAAATCCCTTGGCAGGGCAAGCTTCTATATATAAAAGAGAGCAAACCCATACTCACTAGCACTGATGATTGGGTAATGAAATGTCTGCAAGCAAACAATGAAGCTCAGAGAGCACCAAGGACTCCACAGTTCAACCTTGAGCTACATGTATTCTCTTCTATTGCAGTCACTCTCGCTCAGCCCAACCCACTTCACAGGATTGTTGCTGTGAGGAAAATAGGAGGCAGGAGCATCAGGTATGTTCGCTGCCTCGAGTTGACCAATTTTTTTTCTTCCTAGCATTTTTTCCACACATGCAGGGTCTGCTTTTTTTTGGATCAACCAAATGTTGATCCGTTGGTTGCGTCAGGAATTGACTGACTGGCTTGTCACCCGAGGCTGACATTGCAGGCTGAGAGAGTAACTGGCCCAAAATTACCCAGCCAGCTTTCATGCCTAAAGTGGGATTAGAACTCACAGTCTCCTGTTTTTTAGCCTGGAGTCTTAACCACTAGACCAAACTGTGTCTCCTTGAGTTGACCAAATACACACACACACACACACACACACACACACACAAATAAAAGGCAGGATAAGAATCAATAATAATACTGTGGACCACAACATCTGCTAGACCTTCTGACTTCACCTTGCAGGTGGCAGGAAAAAGCAAGAGTTCCCATCCTCCAATACCTTGGAGTTCAGAGTAGTAAATTTCAAGTTTTGCCTTTCAGATTGTCCTGTAGCTGAGCTATAAAAACATTGGTTCAGCGGCCCAAGGAGGATAACTTAGTGGAAAACTTTTGGGATTGCACCAATGTCAGACCAGCTGCATGTGGCGGTAGACAGAGAAGAATCAGAAAAGCTATGCAGAAAATAAAGGAGGATAGAACAAGAAGGGGGGCATCAGAAAGGTGAAAACTGGTAGGTGGGCAGAAAGGATACCAGAATAAATAAATA